GCTTATATGTAAGCTTCCTTGACATTAAGCAAATGTTTTACAAGTAGGAAAAGTTTATTCTGAGAATGAAAATTCTAATGTAACAATCATGTAAGTCTTAAAGATTTTTTTGAAAAAAAATGCCGCATAGCTTGCGAATTAGTGTATCATTTATTTTTGTATCAAAGATAACAAAAGCATATGATACCAACACAAATATTTTAGCAAAACTTATGGCAGTCAGGAACACAATCTTGTTGAAGTATGTTTTCAAAATAAACCCCACTTCAATTAGGATTTTTGAAGGTTGTAATATGGTCTGGTTCACAGTTTTCAGAAGAAAAAATGATTTTAAGGCTCAAATTTTATTGGTGCCCACCCATTCTTCGTGATGTTCTCCAGTCATATATTCAGTTAATTCAACATTAGTGTTCATTTCTCAGAAAGAGATTTTGTGATGGTTGAGGAAGTGATAAGGCTTTCAAAGTAGCAGTCACCCTTCTTGTGTTTGTGTTTGTAGTTGCACGAATTTGTTCTTGGTTGAGGACTTTTCTTTGTAGTATTTTCTTTTTGATTTTTCCCTAACTTTTACCTGGACTAATTGAAAATCCAGCGGGATGCCCTAATTTTTGCCTAAGTCGCTTGTTTCAAGTTTTCGACTTGATGGGACTTTTTTTTTTTATTTTGAATAAAACGTGTGACATTAGCTTATCTTGACTTGTTAAGAGGATTGTGAATGCCTCATTTCTTGATGAATGAGGGATAACCATTGTGGTTTCACATCTTTTGGCCTCATGATATGTGAAGGATAACCATCGCAGTTTCTCTTCAGAAATATCTTCCTTTGGAAATTTGAACACTCAATCAGGTTAACTGAAAACTACCATGCCCCAGGTTAAAATTAAGGGTTTTCGTATAGAAAAGACACTCCTACTTCAAAGCTCAAAAGTGGTTAACAAGGGATTATCTTCCTTATATCTCCGGTGTTTAGGGATTTGAAACAATGCATGTACATCATCAGCAATATTTTATTCAAAAGCATACGACCAGAGATTTTACGTTTTTCATAACATCATCCTCCCTCCAATATCTACCTGGGCAAGATAATGGGTAACAAGTTGGTAAAAAACAATTTAAAATTGAAACAAATACAAGTGAAACAAATGGGTTTCTTCAAGGCAAATATATTCATTATATTAAGATAATCATTTAAATGCAAACAAGTTCTTACATGCAAATAATGCATTGACAAACAAGAAAAATTACAAATGAAAAAGCAGTAAAAATGCTAATTAAATCGAGAAGACTCTCTTCTTTAAACTCCAAGTTATCCTTAAACCATGTTTATTCTTCGAAAAAGACTTGACTTGAACCTCAAGACCAATATCCTTAAATGACAAGATACCACTTCTGACCAATTTCTGGACTTCAGCTTTCAATAAATAACAATGTTCGATACTATGCCTAGGGGCTCCTTGATGAAAGACACAAGTCAAATCAGCTTTGTAGTACCAAGGCATCTTCTCATGAATCTTTGGTGGAGATCGGGTCTGAACTAAATTCCTCTACACCAGGACAAGAAACAACTCTGTATAGGTAGTTGAAATTGGATCAAATTGAGTTTTTCTTTGATCAGGAACTTGTTGGTTCTGTTGACAAACTGGAGCAACATGAGGTAAATTGAACACAGGGATGACAGGAGAAACATGTTGATTTTGATAATGATTGTTTCTTCCTCCGGTTCTCTTCTTGGAAACATTATTATCAAACTTCTTCACACCACTAGCTGAGCCACCATCTTCAGATAAACGTCCCCTTCAGACAACCTCTTCCAGAAGCACTCCCGTGTTCACTTTTTCAGGGAAATCAATGGGTGAATTGACTATCACCTTCTCATGAAAGAATGATTTCACAATTTCTGTGAAGACCTTTTCCATCTCTCTTTTTTTCCTAGAAGGATTGACTTGGGCAACAACCAAAGTTTCAACCAAAGCAGTTAGATACTTCATACCAGCCTTTAAAGTAGTTACTCTTTGTGGAGTTCAAAGATCTCTTGCCTAATGTTTTCCATCTTCTCTTAGTACGAGTGTTGCACTGACGCGATAACTTGACTTCTGAAGATGAAGAGCAGAGGATAAGACTCCAGAAAATTCTCGAAATCAAGACAGAAGTGAGAATAATGCATGTTATGCAATGCAAATGATTATTTAAAAGTTTTTTTAAACCAAGTTTTCTAAGAACTTTGGAACATTATAAATGACTTACAAATATCAATTAAAATACATAATTGGGACAACTTAAAAACTCATTTCATTAATACTAGAAGGGTTGCATTTGAAGTACAAAACTTCACTAATCCTATACAAAAGAAAGAGAAAGTTAAATCCTCAGGTCCAAATGAACTTCATCCGAAGAAGATCCAACACCATGTTCTAACATCTTCTTGAGCTTGAATTTAGAATTCTAAAGGAAAATAAATCCTCTTGCACTCTTCTCTTCTACTTTGCTGATAATCGGGAAAATAAATCACCGATACCAAGAATTGAGGAACTATATCAAGAGCATGGAGAAAATCCATCTTCAAGACAGCTATGAGAATTTGAAATCCCAAGGACTAAATACCAAGGATTCAGGATTTCTCAATTCTTTTGAATCAGGACTCTTGGCACTGTACTTCTTAGTACTCTTTCCAAAATCCATAATTACAAAACTTATGATGTTTGCAAGTAGAAGTCTTAAGTTCCTTGAAAATTTGGTTAAAACAATGCTCGTGGGTGCATGAATGCATTATGCAACAATCACACACAAGATCACAAACATGAGGGAGTTCATAGGTTCGGCATCACGAGTATAAAGTAAAAGGTACTACCCACAAGGTAAGGACTAATAGTTTATCACCTTCCGAACAAGGTTCTAAAAGGTCCCCAGAGTCTACATCTTTCCTTCGGATACTACCAACGTCTCAATTACTCGGTAGTTAGTAATATTCAGAGGAAAAACTCGTCTGAGTGCATCATCACGTGACAACTACTTCTGGATTACTCCATCATAGTCGATGCACTACATCTAAAAGGCCAAGATGGGTTAAGGTTTATACTGCTCTCAGCTTTTCTGGCTCCTAGGTTGAAAGCAGCAATGTCTTCCCAATTACTCGGTAAACAAATACTACAGTCAAAGGGGCCTCCACTGAATAGGGGATCTCATGCCTCATCTTTCTGGGTTACTCCCTCAAATTTAACATGACTATACCGCATGTTCTATCTTAAATGTACCTTAGTTCGAGTATAGGACTTGTCCGTTGAAATCAACACCCAAAGAAACCATAAAAAATCACATATAAGCAAATAAGAAATAATAACAAAAACAAATATAACAAATTATGTTTAACCCATTCAGAGTATTTTGTTCCTCAGCAGAGTCGTCAATTCTGTAGCGGTGAAAATTAGAGATCAAACTATTAATTAACTTGACTCGTAAACAAGCAAGAGTCGACGCCGCGCTTTATTATTTCCAAGGGAAAAGGGAAAAGTGCAAAATAAAACCCATAAATATGCAAAATAAGTGCATTACTAAAAGTAAAGAAAAATACAATGTATTTGAAAAGAGATCAAAGGTTCGGGGGTTGGTTATATAAAGGGAAAGTACTAGAATCATATGTATCTATAGTATCCTATAGGAACCTTTTGAAATATATGTTTTTTTGGTTAAAATTAGTTTGCTTGCTAAATGAGTGTGGGGATGAGATTTTGAAGATGCGACGACCTAGTGTCGAAGTTTTAGCTTAAATGTGTGTAAGTTTAAAAATTGAGTTTTTTAGGAGATTTAACTTAAGATTAACAAAAAAATTAAAAAGATATGAAGGGGGTTTCACACAATCATATTAGATATATTCAATGACATGAAGTCAACAAATTTTATTCTTTCCCTTGGAAATATCACATGCATAATTTAAGCATAATAATCAGACAGAAATCAAAGTATAGGAACTTGAAGATCCATAAGAAAGCAAAACAATCAATGACAAACAAACAATATGAATTTTAATTAAAGAAGACAAAGGAAATCACATGTAAAAGAAAGAAAATTAACAAAAGATGCTAACTGAAATTATATTTAACTAAACTAAATTAAGATTATAAGATTACTAAATTAATTAAGAAATTTATGATTACTAATATAAACTAAATTAAAAAAGGTTTTATGACTTATTAAATTATTTCTAAACTAAATTGCAGTTCTAAAAGATACTAAATTTATTCTAAAAATTAAACTAATCTAAATAATCTAAATTATCTAATTAACTAATACATGGTTATTTAATTTCAAAATTTTTAATTAAATAAAACAAAATATCTAAACAACTTAAAAGAACTAATTAAAGAAACAAGAGTAAAAAAACAGAGTATTGGGGGTGTAAGGTAGAAATCCAGATGGGCTTGAGAAAGTTTTTAAAAAAACAGTAAGGCCCGAGTTAAAAGAACAAGGCAGATTGAACAATTAAAAAAATGTATGCTGAACCAGACCGAGTCGACCCGGATCAAGGCCCAGCTCCCACTAAATAAAAGAAAGTTGGGTTCTTACAAGAAACCCTAAAGGGAAGCCGTTCTCTCTTCTTCCTCGATTTCTTTATTCTCGCAATGTTACCGTAACAAGGGAAAACACTTTCATTGCCAAATTCACAAAACTCAACTAAATTGGAAATAAAAACAAAAAGTTATCCTCGTTTCATTTCCCTCAACATACACTCATCTCTCAATTTCTCTGAAGCCAAATGCATCTCATTTAATTTCCACCTTTGTTCTCAAAACCTAACACCTAAAACCAAAAATAAATGGTAAAGAAGCAAAGTTTCAAGCAATTGGTACAGGGCTATGAATCATCATATCATCATAAACGTCATGGTAATGAGGAAACTCAAAGATAACGAGGAGACTTAGATAGTCGTAGCTAGTCGACAGTTTCGGGCTCCAACGAAGACTTCGACTCAGGTGAACTTCGAATTCCTTTCCCTCTTCTTCTTCTTACATCAAGATTGTTGTCGATAGTGGCAAAATGGTGTATATTATTGTCGTTGAAGAAGCTGAGATGATTGAGGAAATGGTTGTTGAAGTGTGTTTCATGGAAGAGGTTGTTGTTATAGCTTTACCAGTGTGGGTTAACAGTTGTGTAGAGATGTGGACTGAGGGAGGTGAAGCAAGGTTGTTACTGGTCTTAAACTTCCAGTGTTTGTTCTGAAGTTGTTGTTGGTGAAAATGAGAATTAGTTGGTGTGAAGTTGTTTTTGCGGGTATCAAATTGTTGTTGAGTAGTTGTCCATAGTTTGTGCATGAGTTTACATGGAGGGAGATTTTTAGTGAATTTTTCTACTGAGTTTTCTAAACACTTTTTCTCCTAATTTTATCCTCCTATTTTCGATTAGTTAATCCTTAATGCTTATGGTTACAACTTCTTATTTATTTCCAACTGTTTCACATTTTTTAGTAACAATAATGACACGGTTATGGTAGAAACGATATCCACAATCGAAAAAAATTCAGTATGATAATATGAGCAACAAAACATTCATGAAGAACAAAAAAAGACGCAAGCATAAGTAACAATAGAGCGTGAGTTATGATTCGAAAGCAATACCGAATCGAAGCCTCTCCGATGGAGTTCTTCAAGTGCATGTATGATGTGTCCTTGCTCTGTTTGAATCCTCTTATGAATTTAGTCAACTCTGCTTCAAGGGTTTAGTGGTATTTGAGAGAGTTTGGACAGAGTTTTTGAGTGAGTTTATTTGAGAGCTTTTTTGTGTTTTTAACAGAATTCAAGGTATCTTCTCCTCTGGTTTTTTCAAAGGATTTTCTGTGTATCTTTTTGCTCTCCATGTCCCCCTTTTCTGTTGAGATGAAGCACCAATTTATAGGGAAAGAACTGATCGAATTTAGGGGGGAAATTGTGAGATTTGAACAAATATGATGCACTGATTTGTGGCTTTCTGAGACAGCTTTTGGGGCGTACCATTTTAGTGTAACTCTTGACTTGTTCTGCTTGGGGTTTGTGTGCAGGTTAGAGCAGAGTATCAGATTGATTTTTGTAGCAGATTTTTGTGTGTTGGACAACAGGTTTTGCTTGGCTATTTAGGTATCTCATGAGCAAGGTTTTTTTTTGTATGTTATATTAGGGCTGCTGTAGGACTGTTATGACAGGATTTAGAGCAGGTTGGCGATATTTTTTGGAGTTTTATGGACTAGCTTTTGATTGGTTTTTGTAGCATAGCAGGAAAGCAGTAGTTTAGCAGCAAGTTTGGACTGGTGTGGCCATATTTGGAAGTCTGTTTTTGTTACTTTTCATGGACAGGTCTTGGTTAGGCATGGTAGGAAGTTTAAAAAAGATTTGGAGGAAAATTAATGAAGATGGGGATAGTTTAGTATAGGCTTTAGGATTTTTTTATGATTTTTTGGTGTAATGTCTCCATGTAAAAGCAATAGTATAATGGTGATGATTTTTGTAATGGAAATGTCTTGTAACCTCATTCACATGAATGCAAGTATGAGTCTTGAATGAAAATCCCGAATCAATTTTACACCCAATCATCTTGCACTCTTAATATAACTCCTATTTTAATCTCTAGTCCGAATTGACATACAAATGAATCTACAACATTACCACTTGTGTCATGAAAGGTGTGATTTGAATTTATATAAAGAACTTGGATTGCTCATGTGATATTGTGATTTTTTTTGTAATCCTTTAAAACTAGAACTTGAAATATCAAGAGAAAACTCCTAATATTCAAATTTAGTTCCAATTAAAATGTGTATCGAAACTTGTCCTTGAATTTGAAATGCATGAATGATGAATGAAGTTGAACTTTGAGAAAGGTCTTGAATAATGCTTGAAATTTTGAACAATTCACATTAATGAACTTGCACTCTTGAAATAATCCTCGAGAAATTGGAGTGCATCTTACTTAAAACTTCAAATTCATAAACCTTCTTGAATCACTCTTGCAATTAAGAACCCTGATATTAATTGACAAACTTGGATATTTTGACTTTATGGCATTGGTTACTTGAAAGAAAACTTCACAACCATGAATCCATTCTTGATCCAAATCTCAAATCCAAGTCAACTTGCAAACAACAAGAACTTGCAGAATCATCGACCTCATGCCACACTTCATACGCTTTTTGCACTTGTACTTCAATCCATCATAATCAGCGATGCGTTGAAGAATTTCATTATGACATGAATTGAACCTAGGAGTTAAGAATCATTCTAAGTCAAGAACTCACCTATGATAATTCAATAACTTTCAAGGTATTCTAAGCATAATTTGTCCTCGACCTTTGAAGAAAAGTCATAGACGACATCATCTATGACAGTGTGCAAAAAGAATCATCCAAAAATCTTGAAAATTGAAAGAGTTACGATCCTTGAAAATTGGGCGATAGTTACTTTAGATTAGGTCAAATAGGAAAAATGACCTCTAAGATATTCGAATATTTGATGATCCTCCGCACATAATCAGCTCTTGACTTGTAAAGAGAAGTTGGAGGTGACGACAAAGAGAATCATACAAAAAAAGAACCACTCAAAAATATTGAATAATGAAGAAGTTATGATCGTGTGAACTTGATTTTGAAAATACCGACTTCTTGGTCAAAGTGCTTTGAATCAACTTGCAAACTTGATCCTTACTCGCATTTCCAGACATATTGATGCACATGTGAACTAGTGAGGATGAAATCCTTATTATGATTTTTTGAGATTATATGCTAAGCTTTGATGAAGTAGCCTTTGAGAATTGATGATTCACCATACTTGAACACTCGAGAGATCCAAAACTCTAATTGAGGCGCAACACCTGACAAACTTAATTCAGACCTGTCTCTGTACATGAAACCAAAGAAACACAAACATACACATTTGTATGGGATTACGAGTTAATGATACATACAATAAAATATTCACAATAATTGATAATCTTTGCCTAAGCAATGCTCGAAGGTGAGCGGATTAAAAACCAAATGTATCTCATGACCTTGATGCTTTATGAAAATGTAAAAGAAGGTGGGATCTTAGGTCAAAATTTTGGGAATGACACAAGACTTTGTGTTACTAAAAAAATTCATTGTCAAAACTCACTCTCCTAGAGTTCCAATATTAAAAAAGTGTCATGGTGTCCACCCCCACCGAATCGGATCAAGGCTAATACAAATGGTACTTGAGGCGGAACACCTCTCTTGGAATCCTATGGGAGAATTTTTAGAAATCATAAAAGTGAGCATTTGAGTAGGTTTGCTTGTAATCTTGGTAAGAAAATGCCCTTTTTGAACTTATGAGGGCAATTCTAGCCATGGAGTATGTTATTAGTCAATATTGAAGTAGATTCTAGTTGGAGACAAATTCTAAATTAGTCGTATTTGGTTACAGTAAACCATGTGTGATACCTTTGACTGAAGGTTAAGGAATATATGTGATTACTATATCTAAGTGCTGCAACAAATTCATTTTTTGACAACTTATATTTACAGAGAAAAAAATAATTGTGCAGATAAACTGACTAATTTAAATCTAATAATTACCAACTATACATAATAGAATGCGATACATATCAATTTAGTTGTGAATTTCAATAAAAACAAACTAGGTTTTCTTAGATTTAGAATTTGCTAAGTTTGAAGTTTTGACTTTATTCCCTCCATTTTTGTACCTACTATTTTCATTCATATCATGGGTGAAATCCCTCTTTTGATTTAAAAAAAAGTTCAAAAAAATTAACCTTATTAAAATTAGAGAGGGTGTCCAAATCATTTTAACATATTTTATTTCAGCTCCATGAAACGCCGCGTTTTGTATACTTGTTTGACGAATCCTTCTTCACGTAGTCAGGCCTCTGGAACTGAGGCTATAGCCGATCAATTCATCGGAGACTCCAGGCCGGCACCGTTAACAGCGACTGAACTGGTACGGCTCATTCCCACTCCTTTTCAATCTATATCTCTATATCGACCCCTTAATCATTCTCACTACACTACTTTATATATTTGATCCAATTCATCTCCCGATTCACTTCATTTTCATAATTCGCATCTTTTTCCCAGTCAGTGATGTAATTTTATGAGCTATAAATTCGATTTCAGTTATAATTAAGAAAATACTAACTTCTTTATTTATCAATTTACTCGTTTGCAGAAAGTAACAAGATGATAAGAGCAGTGCTGGTGATGAACACGCAAGGGAAGCCTCGTCTCGCTAAATTCTATGAATTTCGGGTCCATCTCTACTCAAATCTTTGCAAATGATTTTTCTTTTAAATTCAATTTCATCACATTGTTTATATGTTGTGGTAGATCAGCCTGTGGAAAAGCAGCAGGAAATTATTCGAAATGTGTTTGCAGGTTTCGAGAACTGATTCTTCGACTCCATATTTTTTGTTTGTTTGATTTTCTTTTCTAACTTGCTTTCTTATGTGAATTTTGTTGTTTTTGCAGTCTTATGCAGTAGACCTGAACATGTCAGCAATTTTGTGGATGCTGAGTCCATCTTTGGCGCGGTATTTTGTTCTTACATTTTGTACTTGCTAGTTTTGATCTTTCAGCTTGATTATTTTTCTATACTAGTTATAACATTAATGTGGGATTGGAATTATAAAAGTTGTTGTCATTAGGGCTTTTTATTGGCATTCTTTGTTGATAGTTGATATTGTATCGTGTGTAAGAAGATTTTATATTATCGTCTTATGTCGGCATGTGTTTGAAAAAGCTGGTCTAGCAGAGCTAGAGCGAAGTATGTGTTTGATTCAGCAGTGGTTTACATTCTTAAAACCAATTTTGGCATCACCAAAAGTGAAAGCAAACATGCACTAGGTTACCATGAACTTGTTTTCAAACTAAAGTTAGCACTTAGAAGGACTAAAATGGGGATGTCTATTAGCAAACATGCACCAAGTTACCAAGGATTGGTGTGTATTAGCCAACCATGTTTTTCATCCTCTAATGGGATCTAATAACATTGGTCCCTATTATGTAAAGCAACTCCCATTGGAGATGCTCTAATGTGGGGTATGCGTTTTGTTGAGATTTAATGACATGCTTTTTAAAGTCTACCATTGATCTCATATCTGAAATATACTAGTTTTCTTATTTTGATATGCAACTAGGTTTTTTTTTAATCAATTGTATTCTTTTTCATAACAATAATATTGACTCATCCTTATATCTGAAGAATGTAAGTAATGAATTCATTTGTTGTTTCCTTCTTCAGGATGCTCGACTTGTCTACAAGCACTTTGCAACTCTATACTTTGTGCTCATATTTGATGGTTCTGAAAATGAGCTTGCTATGCTTGATTTGATTCAAGGTAGATTCTTTTGACACTCTGTGTTCTTGGGATGATTTATTTGAATAATTTTACTTAGTGATAATGGGCTTAATTGCAACCTCTTGGTGTTCTTGGGTTTCAAGTTGTTTCTGTCTTTGAGACGTTTCTTGGACTAATTACATACTTTTAGCTGACAAATGAAAGCCTACATGATGCGGCTTTATGATATAGGAACAGGGATATTTGAACTACATATGAGATTTCAAATTGACTATGGGTAGTAACATGTTGGGTCTGCTAAAAATGTATTATAATAACGGTGAATTTTAAACTATTATATATTATATATGATATCTAAAAATGTATTATAATAACAGTGAATTTTAAACTATTATATATTATATATGATATTACTCAATGATGCGACACTAGTTTTACCATTACTTACATCAAAGTAATGCAGCTTAATTTTTGTAATACACATTATTCAGTACCTCTCGAAGTATGTAGTAGTGTTGTCCATGGCGGAGAGCCAAAACCCCACCTTACCGGCCGCTTTGCGGCGCCGTTATTGCGGATTATGGCGGAAAAACCCACAATAGCGGCTGATATTTACCATTGCGGCGAGTCCAAAAACCGCTATGTATATCCGCCATAGCGGGGCAACTTGATAACACTGGTATGTAGTATACAAGTTTTGGGTATGACGACATTTACCATCCTTAGTTACAACTACACCCACGTTGTAAGCTGACTAACTTAGAAAAATATATCATGCTTGCATTGCATTATAATCACAAATGACTTGAGTTATTTTTTATGGATGTTGACAATAATTATGTAGGGGAAGACCACGGGAGAATATGCTTTTATATCAGTAGTAGGTTAAAGACTCAAGGTGATTGGAGTTTAACTACAGAATTGTGGTTCTAGTTTTAAGAACCTTGTAGGTCTGAAATCATAAACTATTTAAAACTTGGAAACTTAATAAGACGTATTATAATAAACTTAGTTGACAAGAGAGAAACTCTTCTAGGACTTCAAAGATACCATGATATCCCAAAGCTAGCTGAAATAAATAAAGTTTCTGAACTGGAAAGACCTATTTGGTTCACAAATGATGAGATGAACCAAGATCCGATGATGAGTCCCGATATTCGTTTTTGGATCCTGATGCTCCAGTCCGACAGCGGCGGGGTACCAGCAAACACTCTGATGCTAAGTCAGTAATGACCGAAAATGAGAATTATTAAGGGTTAGAATAGTGTGTACCTGAAATGACCCCTTCCACCTGCTTTTATTGCAAGGTTCTAGGGTTTTCAGGACCCTCAAACCTTCTGTTCCTTAAAGCTGTATAAGTAGACAGATGTTAAGATCCTGACAGGTTCTATCTAACGGTTCTTAGTCCTATGACAACTCTGATCAAGTGTCTGTCTAGGGAAAGTCCATCTTATGTTCCCTGATTCCAAAACCTTCTTTGTGGATAACTCCTTTGAAGGAGTGATATCAGCAATCCACAACCCTTAATCTGTCTGCCCTTAGAGCTCATGGTGACGTGGTCTCTGTATGTCGCTGGAATTTGGTCGTCGTTCTGGGGCAGAGATCTTCTGGAGGATCTTCGAGGGACCCTTTAGACTAATGGTCTGATCCTCTTCCCGTGCCCGCAGATCCAATAGTGTGCTGGATCAAAGTGTATTGGACCTTGGCCTAGACCGGAACAGTTTCTTAAACTTTTCCCTGCAAAAATTATATAAAATTGAAATTATATAGTTATGATTACACTCCCTAAGGGGAGCCTCGGTACAACAGTTCGAGTTGTTTCCATGAGACCCACACAGTAGCAGCTTTGTATTAGAGAATAGTCAAGATAGGAAGGTGAATGCTATTCAAACCTTTGTAATGACTGACATATGTCAAGTCTAAACTGTAGGTAACCTGCTATAGCAGGTCACACAGTTGACTATAAATGCAACTGTGTGTCACGTTTTGTAACTAACTTTTACATAACAGAGTTCTGTTATAACAGAAATGAAAAGTTCCTCTATGATTTCTATCACTTTGTAATACCAAGCTGTTCCTTTTGTTGTGATACAAGTGTCATTTGGAAGTTCCACATGCTTAGAAAATTGGACGTTGAGCACTTTATAAGTGAGAGGACCCATACACCTATCACCTTAAAGTTTTGGGTGAATATGTGGTGTCTCTTTCACTTGTGTGTTGCTCTTGTCCCAATATGGACGTTCCTCATGATGACCCAACAGTGGTATTAGAGCTGCTTGTGGTCAGGCGGCGTGTTCTGTTGTACAAGTTTATGTGGATGAAAGAGCTTCCGCTTGAGGGGGAGCATAGTGGATGGACTCACACTTGAGGGGGAGATTGTTGTGATACAAGTGTGATTTGAAAGTCTCACATTGCTTAGAAAAGTGGAGGTTGAGTATTTTATAAGTGAGAGGACTCATACACCTATCACCGAGCACTTTATAAGTGAGAGGACCCACCTTAAGGTTTTGGATGAATATGTGGTGTCTCTTTCACTTGTGTGTTGCTCTTGACCCAATGTGGATGCTCCTCATGATGACCCAAACTTGTCTTGATTACTTTTCATATCTTGAACTAAACATCCACTGGTATTCAATGTCAAATGCGAAGTAAAACTTGAGAGAAGTTAAAGAAAATTAAAATCTGCTACATATCATCTATGACCTGTAAGTTCGAGAGATTTATAAGTGTCATAATATTGTTTAAAAGAGTGAATGTTATTAACTGACAAAACTAGTATAGATTAAAACAGTGAAGAGTATGATCAGGTTTACCTCTTATTGTGATTAAAAGATAATGCTTTTGATGGTTGTTCCCATTATTGATCATCCCAGTCTCCTGTCCTGTAGACTTAATGATGTCATTTAATCGACATATATAGTAGACCAAACATCCTGGGACATGGCTTCTTTTCGTTGTTTTCTTACACCATAAGCATGTGGAAGAACATCCCTCTGCAATTGCATCTTACATTTTAGAAATTTTTATTGAGAAAGAGTTCTGGGGTAGGTAAGTTGTTGGTTCTCGTAGACACATACAAATCTTGGACTGTTAATCTAATGCCAATTTAGCACAAAACCCCCCAACATGATTTGAATTATTATTTGTGCTAACTATTCTTGAGGTCATTTTGCAATTTTCATTTTCTGCGCTGTGAAAATTAACAATGTTAGTTATCTATTTAACTTTTGGTTCAGTCATTCTATTTAGCCATTTCAACAATATTGCATATTGTACTAGTATCCTAGGGGAATAGTCATATGCATTGCACAATACCCATCATACTTTCTTACCATCTCTTACATGATCGTTAATTTTATGGGGTGATTTGCTTATCTTGTCCCTTTCTGCCTTCAGTCTTTGTTGAAACACTGGACAAATGCTTCAGAAATGTATGTGAGCTTGATGTCGTGTTCAACTACAGTAAGGTTGTATGCTTTGCTCCCTTGATTATCAATTATATATATATATATATATATATATATATATATATATATATATATATATATATATATATATATATATATATATATATATCAGTTTTCATAAACTGAATCTTTATAGCAATTTACCGTATAGCACCAAATGAATTAGAAACTCTATATTATGACATGGGCTTTTTAAATTCTTCAACAAATATTTGTTTCGAGTCTCAAGCTACCCCTCTTTAGTAAAAAAATTGACGATACTATTATTACATTTTTTTAAAACTAAAGTTGGGTTGTTTTGGAAGTGTCCCTATGTTTTGGGAAATAAATTCTCTCTTTGACATAATGGCTCAATACTAAAAAGTGTCGATACTTAGACCGAAACAATATCTGCATCTTAAATTACCATTTATGTGAAGCTTAAAAATGAGTTTGTCGAATTAGAAACTCTATATTATGACATGGGCTTTTTAAATTCTTCAACAAATATTTGTTTCGAGTCTCAAGCTACCCCTCTTTAGTAAAAAAATTGACGATACTATTATTACATTTTTTTTCACTAAAGTTGGGTTGTTTTGGAAGTGTCCCTATGTTTTGGGAAATAAATTCTCTCTTTGACATAATGGCTCAATACTAAAAAGTGTCAATACTTAGACCGAAACAATATCTGCATCTTAAATTACCATTTATGTGAAGCTTAAAAATGAGTTTGTCTGCAGATGCATACTATACTAGATGAGATTATTTTCGGAGGTCAGGTGTTAGAGACAAGTTCAACTGAGGTTATGAAGGCTGTTGAAGAAATATCAAAGTGCTCTCTCTTTCCTCTCGGTTTTAACATTGCTATTCTTTTTCACATTATAGCATTGAATAGGGAGTGCTACATCACAAGTTAACTAGAAACTAAAGATTTTCACTTTCTGCATAAGTAGCTTCTTAAACAAATTGAACATTTTCTTTTGAGTTAATTTTGCATTTTGTGGAAAACATGTGCTAATTAATATATGCAAAGCAGGCTTGAAGCCGCATCCAGTGCAATCAATCTTGTTTCGAAGTCTGTTTCTAGTTGGAGGTCGCGATAGTATGATTCCACTTAAGCTTATCGAACGATCTTCTTTCACATATGCTTGAGGTTTGGAAGTCAAAGTATCTCTGATCAGGGAAGTCAGGTTGAATGTAATTCTGTTCTTCTAATGGAAGCAAAAACTGACACCCTCAACCAGTTGAGTTGACCATGGTTGCTGCTGATATTTTCGTGATGGGTTAGTTAAGCAATTGGTGAATTTTTATTTTCCTACCTTTGTTGGTCGAAAGGAACCGTGTACAACTTTACTGTGCCCTCATGATTCCAACAGATCCCAATTTTTATTTACTTATTTGGCTGCATTGACTTGAAATGTTAATCCTGTATAAACATGTTCCTATATATTGTAATTTATGAAGAATATTGGGTTTCCTGTATCATATAGTACTTAGAATCAATGCATCATAGCAATTGTCAGCTTGTCTCGAATGATTATAGGTTCAAGTTTTCTAAAATTCCCTTACTGCATCTGCAAATTTGTGCAATTGTTAATATAATTTGGTACTCCCTGTGGAGTGTGAAAGTGTCCTTTTTCTTTGATCAACTTATTCTACAATGACAACAATGCCCTTTAATTAAATCAACTTTTATTTTCCTATATTTACCTTACCTAGAAACATAATTTTTCTTCTCCGATGGAGACTTTCTTTCAAAAAGAGGTTGTGATTTCGTTTCCCAATTTTCAAGTTATTACGTTTGCAAGACCAATTACTTTGAAGAGCTAATCGGCGAATTTTAAGGATGTGCTCCTCAGAATTCAGAAGTGTTGCATTTACATCTCTGTATTGATGCCAAATCAAAAGGAAGTGTTCCTCACAACTCAAAATTGAATTCAAAAGTTTTGCACTCTCATCTTTGTATCGATGCCGAATCAAACCGTATCAAATACTATTTGGTTTGCCTTAGATTTTCCATCTCCATTTATATTGAGTATTGCTAAATTAAACAAAGATAAGTTTTTAACACCAAGTCAACCTTCAACTCCAAGTCAACCTTTTTCCTTTGGTAAGCTTAGCTTATCCCACTTCGGCCAACAAACCTTGGTAACCTTTTTCCTTTGGACCGTCACGACTGACTCGAGCAGAATTTGAGTGAGATGGGGGGTACCTGCAATACACTCTGATGCTAAAATAAGAGACAAAATGAGCAGGAAAAAATGTATAGGTGCGTAATAGATGAATACCTGACCCTCTGAGAACAAAGGGTATTTATAGCCCTCAGTGCTGGGCCAAGGTCCCCTCATTGGGCTGACCAGAACTGGCCCAATAAAAGAACTGTCAGGTTCTACGTGCGTAGTGGGGCTCCGCACGTGGTCCCCTTCCTGGTGGTGCTCTGCGAAGAATGAGGAGGGACGAAGACGCGGTCTTTCCGGAGTTTAGAGGATTCGATAACAGTCAGAGTGGACAGAATCTGCCCTACGGGGAGGGTGCTCGAGCAGGACTCGAGCTGGAGTTCCCTTGGTCGGGGACACTGTGTCGCGGGCAATGGCGGGCATCGTGGCTACAGTCTGTGGTTGGACACGTCGGCGGTGATTCGCGGGTGCGCATTCCTCGAGGAGTCTGCTTGGATTGGGCCTTTATCTGCGCTTTGGGCCAGGGTGGGCCCAGTCCAGAACAGGATCCCCCCAAGTCGTTGCTCCTGGGGCAGGAGTTGTGACTTGACTTCAGTTCGCCTTTACCACGGGGATCTGACGCCTGGACCAGGATTTTGCTTTTTTGATGCGTGCTCGAGGAGTTTCTCACGGGTTGCGTTCGTAGCGTAATCCTCGTCGACGCGTGCTCGAGGAATTCCTCGCGGACTGTGTTTGTTGGATACACGAGGCAATCCTTGGGAACCGTGACGCCACCCTAGCGACAATAGGGTCATCATTGCCTAGGGGAATAGATGTCGAGGAGGGGGAGCTCGTGACTCTCCGGGGCGACGTTTCGTATTCCACGTCATCCCTATAAATAGGATCCCTGGGAGCCCATAATTTGTTTTTCTTCTTCGCGCTTCTCCTTCTTCCTCTGCTTCCGCCGCCGTCGTTTTCTACAACGTCGTGAGATCACCGCACCATCCTCCGTTGATTACTCCCATCCCTGCCGTACGTTCATCTTTTCTTCCAAGTAAGTGTTTATTCCTCCTGTTTTTCTTTGTTGTAGGTAGTTTTAACGTTATTTGGATGTTAGAAACCCACATCTGGGAGTAGTGCCCGGTAGATTCATGATTGTGCCTGGTAAACCCATAGTTTTAGGTACGTGACTCGCAATGCTGCCCGTGACCTTCATAGTTTTAGGCACATGATCTATGATGCTGCCCGTGACATTTGTAGTTTTAGGCACATGATCTATGATACTGCCCGTGACATTCGTAGTTTTAGGCATATGATCTATGATACTGCCCGTCACATTCATAGTTTTGGTCGGCGTACCCATGAGCTGGCCGAGATGTTGACCCCTTAGGAAGTATGTAGGATAGCCCATCGCAGCATCTTAGTGTCAGGCAAGCGAAGTCAGGATCTTGCTTGAGTTATTCATGTTTATTGCTTGGGGTGTTCATGTTATTCCCTTGTTGTTCCCGACGCCTGGTCGAGCTGGGGTGTCCATGTTCGGCTTGTCGTGTACTACTTCCCGTCACTGTGGCGAGCATGCGGATTTGCTCTCGAATTTCACCGGTTTCCTGTGCTTTGCAGGTAAATGGCCGACGAACCAGAATCTTCGAGGCAAAATGAAGTCGAGGACCAAAGTACCGAAGAGAACGTGACTTTAGTTGATACTATTGATGACCCCTCGTTGGACTGGGTGGGTGCCGAGCCCCGAGGGATTGCCTCGGCGTACTGTCGACGTAGTCGACGTGCATATACTGTCGTTGAGCATGGCGGTAGTCGGCCAGGTTTCCAGAAGAATTTTGTTGTGATGAGGTCATCCATCGATGCACGAATCTGCTCGGAGTTTACCGAGTATGGGTTTCCAATGTAGGAGATCGTGTTTAGGGATCTCAGTATTAAGCTCCCTTTCAGCGATTTCCAAGCCGGGGTGTTCTTCCATCTGAACTTGGCCCCTTCGCAGCTTCACCCTAATTCGACCGCCTTTCTTCGGGCGTTTGAGCTGACATGCCGTTTCTTGAGGATCGGGGCGACCATTCCCCTTTTCTTCAGGGTTTTTCACCTGCAGCGTCAGTCTCGAGGAGGCATGCATAGCTGGGTTTCCCTGAAACAGTCGAAGAGGCTGTTCAGGATGTATATGGATTCGGTCGGGGGCTTCAAGGATAAGTGGTACGTTCTGCAGCCGGTCACCCAGACTGCCTTGGATTCCTTGTACGAACCGGAAACCGCGATAGTTGACGAGGACGAGGAGCCCCTCATGGACGCCGAGGGTCGTCCGGCAGTGGGCGCATATCCAAGTTCCCGATACATTGGTGCTCGGGCCATTACGACCATGGCACCGGGTACTATCATACGCCCGCGAGAAGCATGAGCACCGAGGACGAAGAAGCCTATGGTATCCTTTGCAAGTATGTCGACAGCTTCTTCCCTGCCCGGTGGGTCACGAGGGAGGGGGAAGATATTCTTAACGAGGATGGGTACCCGACATTCGAGGCCCGTCCCATCGACACCAAAGCGCTCGTCGAGTGCCAATCTTACGGGTAGGCCGTAGATGTACTAGGTTTCTTGCTTTTGCTTTTGTTGTTTTATTCCATTTTCGTTGTTTTTGCTTGCTTGCAACTAACCCGAGCTTTGCTCTTTTTTGCAGACGATATGGCTGAACGACGGGAGAGGCTGTTGAAACTGACTCAGGACAAGAAAGTAAACAAAAGGCTGGTGCGAGCTCCATAAGCCACGAGGATGGGCCCGCCGGCCAATTCGGGCGATGCATCTAGTGGGTCCCCGAGCCCCTGACGCTGAACAGCCCACCGAGCTAATTACGAGAAAGAGAAGTCGGGCTGATATCAGGTCGGAGGTTGGCGACGAGTCCGTAGCTGCGGGGGCCTTCGGCTTACCCCCTATTTTAAAGAGAAAGATTTCTTCGAGGGGTTTCCCCTGACGGTGAGCAACGACGAGGCCGAGACTATCAGACGGCTCGACAAAGAAAGTCGGAGGAAACACCTGGCCGCCAGTATGGTCGGGATGGTGAAGATGGCCGAGATGGCTGTTGTCCTTGCCGATGAGGGGTCGGACTCCTCGGACCGTGTCATGGAGTTGGAGTCGGAGAAAGCTGCCCTCGCTGCCAGTTCTCGTAAGCTAAAGGCGGCCCTCGAGCGATCCGAGGAAATGTTTCGCAAACAAGCCGACCTACTGGCGGGGGAGAAGGAACACTCCGGGAAGGTTTTTGAGGAGAGGGATTGCCTCCAGCTGGACAAGGAACGCTTAAAGGCTGACAACGAACGTTTGTCTAAGGAAGTCGAGGAGCTAAAAGCTGTTATGCTTCCTGCTGACGATGAGTCAGAGGAGACAGCCCCTTTGCGGACCCGTTCAGATTTGGTCGCGCGTATCCACCTCCTTGAGACAGACTGTGTCGGTGCTTTAGCAGATGCTTTCGAGGTCGTGGTCATCCAGCTCGCCATACTAAATCCGGGCATGAATACCGAGGGAATGGGGTTCATGTCTTAGATTATCGATGGTCAGGTCGTGCCTCCTCCTGAGTCTCCTGTGGTGGATGCCGGTAGTCCCGGGAACATTTAGCGTGGAGTTTCTGGCCGGGCCTGCGTGCTCGCTTATTGGTATTTGTTTTGGGGCCTGCGTTCCCGTGCTCATTTTTGGGGCCTGCGTGCCCGTGCTTATTTCTTTTGGCCGTTGTGCCATGGCTTGTAACCCTGGACATCGCCGACCTTTTTGGTCGGTCTATTTTTAACTCGTCTTGTGTATAAACTTTTCAATGGATGTTCATTTAACTTTAAACTTGCTCGTATTTAAGTTTTACTTTGTGACGAAATTTGTCTAAGTTACGTCCTCGAGCTAGGCTTGTATTCGACTGTTATTTTGTGACGAAATTTGTCTAAGTTGTGTCCTCGAGCTAAGCT